ATTATTATGTAGAGGGTACAATTTTTGTTATGAAAACAAAGTTATTAATTTCACCGAATTTCAAACTGAGATTGAATTGAACATGAGTAGAATTGAAGGTATGTGTCATCCTAGTATATTCTCAGCTCTATGTAAACACTTACACACTTACTCTCAACAACTTATTCGTAATGTGAAACGGAAATGGACGAGTAATGTTAGTGATGATGAGAAGGAAGCTATAAAATCATTGAAAAATAATACAAATGTTGTAATTTGTCTTGCGGACAAAGGAAATGCGATAGTAATCCTGGATAAAAATGACTATATTTCGAAAGCAGAATGTCTATTGAATGCTAAACAATTTAAGAAAATCAAAACAAATTTAGTCCAGAGAACGGAGAAGGAATTAAACAGATACATTCGAAAATTATATATAGACGATATAATTGATCAGAAAACGTTCTATCGACTTCGGTCCACGTGTTCTTCGATAGCCGTTATGTATGGACAACCTAAGATCCACAAACAGAATTTTCCTCTACGTCCAATTATTTCTACAGTCAATACTTAAAATTACTAATTATCGAAATATCTTGCCGCTCTCATCACGCAACGCAGACCTCAACCATTATTCTCGTTCATCAAAGATTCATTTGATTTAGCGAAACGAATTTCGAAACTCAACGAAAGTAAAAATCAAGTATTATGTTCATTTGACGTCGATAGTCTGTTTACCAACGTACCAATGAATGAAACAGTTAAAATAATTTTAGAAATGATCTATAAAAATGGAAGACCAGCAGACGTCCCATTTGAACGTGAACAGTTGAAAGAACTATTGAAATTATTTGTCAAAGACGTACCATTTCATTTTATAAATAAGTATTACATACAATGTGATGGAATCGCTATGGGGTCACCCTTATCTCCGATCTTTGCGGATATCTTCATGTCTAATCTAGAACTAAAAAGTAATCGATTCTCAACTAACGAACCGTAAGTGTGGCTGCGGTATATCGATGATGTATTTTGCATTTTCAAAACTACACAGAACATTCTGGATTTTCTGATAAGGATAAACAAATGGCATGAAAATATTAAGTTCACTGTTGAATACGAATCGAATGGACAACTGCCTTTTCTCGATATACTTGTCGTCAGAAATTCACAAACTGATAAATATGAAACGATGGTGTACAGAAAAGCTACTCATACTGATTTATACCTGCTTTACGAGAGTAACCAATGTCGTAAATATAAATTAGGATTTATTAGAGCGATGATAATTCGACTGCTGATGATATGCTCTACTAATGATTACAAAAAGGATGAATTAGAACGATTGAAAAATGTACTACGTGATAACGGATATCCGGAACATATAATAAAGAAAGGAATTCGTGAAGGTGAAATTGTAACTAAAAACATAATCAAAAAACAACAACAGCCTACACAGACAAATGCACAAATACCAGCTCCTACTAAGAAACGAACTATGTTCTTCACTCTTTCGTACTATGGTCATGAATCTGATATACTAGCAGAAAGATTGAAGAAGATCAGTAGAAAACTTTTGCCAACAATTCAGTTAAACATTGCATTTCGAAAAACTATGACACTCAAAGCAATTTTCTTACCTCTTCAAAAAGGTAAAGACGAATCGAGAAGTACAATGAAGCTGGTATACAAAATTCCATGCAAAGACTGTAATATTTCATATATTGGAGAGACAGGACGTCAACTGACAACACGAATGAACGAGCATCAGAAAGATATAAGGAAAAATACATTAACGTCAGCCGTTGCACAACATGCTAATTCGAAATCACATTCATTTGATTTCGATAAGGTAGAAAAGTTAGCTTATGAAAGCGGTTGGAGAAAACGAACTATTAAAGAGAGTTTATATACTCAGTTTGCATATGGTAAATCAATTAATGATACGAAATACAAACTGAAAGTCTTTGGATAATGCGAATAAAGTCCTCCGTGGAGGACAGTTTTGTGGCAATGTAAAGTTCTTTGAACTTGTTATTCGAATAGCAGGCTAATTTCTATCTTTTTCTGTTCTTCCGATATGTCAAATAGCAAAAGAGTCACATTTTGGGATATACAGAGAACGTAAATCGTTTTGTTGTCATTTGTTTCTTGACAATGGTACGAGTCAGTACCGAAAGCTCAAAATCGACAAATAAAATTATTGAATTTGGTTAAAATTCTTAATATGTATTTTGTTGCGGTCTTATACGAAGTATTTTATTTTATCAGCCTTTTGTAAGATTGATTGTGAGAATATTGAGAATTTGAAGTAGGACCCAACATTGTGGACCCGAAACGACGTCTTATAGTCCATTTCTAATAACAAATTTTTTGCTGTGCTATCTAACATGTTCAATAGCTACAGAAAGTGTGTCTGAGTAATGAAACGGAGTCTCATGGCTCACTATCGCAGGCTAGAGCCATCCACACGAGTCTAATAGTAGTTGAAATTCTGTGCATTACACTCTTTAGATGTCTAAGTAAATCTTCCACTGTTAGACATATGTTGTCCGAAAGTGATTGATATAACACTAGAATAAAACATAATCGATTTCTTTGACGTATCGCTATTGTTTCAGTAAACTACGCAAGACTGTTATAAGTGGAAATTGCTTCTCGATCGAATATTGTCTGTTGTAATGTCATACAACTTTGAATATTGGGGAAGAGTTCGAGACTGAGAAATGATAAAGCTGGCAGTTAATAAGGCGCGAGGCGTAGTAACTGATAATATAAATAACTGGTAAATTCTCGTCTCATAGTCAGTGATGATATCACGTTGGTAAGCGAGGGACCACAGCTTAATGTCTCTAAATTTTTCCAGACGTCGTGAACAAGTGCAACTACGGCGATAACCAAGAAGCTGAATTCAATATCTCTTGTTGTATGTAAAAAGATATCTCAACAGTCAGCTAGAAGGATGAAACTTCGTATCGAACATCATGGTAACTATCTTACTGTAAATACATCGATTGGGTGTATTTTCTACGAATAAATTTGTTGAATTCGCAGAACTTTTCGACTGACGTAAGTAGATCGTATATGGCGAAGCAAGAAATCGTAAGAGAAACAAATCCAGATACTGTTGCCAGAGTAGCAGGCGATACTCCATTAAAAATTCTAGACAAAAGAGTAAAACGTTCATCTGACCTGATTATCCGATACAAAACCCGATGCATCGAGCTGTAGCTGAAAAAAATCATAACTCGATACAAAAACGCCAGTTTTGAAGTGGGTAGTAGTAATTAACTGTACCTATAACTAAGCTGCAACACTATTCTTACCTGTCTTTCAAAAAGTGAAGACTTTTATCATTACCTTGTTCGGACAAATCATTACAGGCTGTTCACGAATTTCCCAAAGTTGCACTTTACTGATCTAAAGTAAATTAGCAGTTACTCTGATGAAAGAAACATAAAATTAACGGTACAAAATACTTACTTTCAGATAAAAGCACGGAGCAGTTTGGTACGACAGTGAACCCTTAAGTCATATTTCTATTACATTCTATCTACGACCACACGCAGACATAAAAGGCATTTGATGAGAGAGAATCAAACAAACAAAGACGCATTTCCTAGATACGTCAAATAATTGTGATTTATGCAAGAAACAAACTTTATTTAATGACACATGCAAGATTTGTTCGAAAGGAAATAATAGTTTGCCACTAAAAGCGTATTAGTAACTTCTGCCGCCAATAAAACGCAACAGCACGTCACACCAGTGTAACAACAAAATAGAAACTGCCAGTAAAAACAAATAAGAACTGCCATCCATACCGACCGCCACATCACGACGGATTCTACAATGTTCGTGCTACTCAGCATAATACTAATTACAGTCAATATTTTTACAACATCCAGCTACAGTAACAGTCAGAATCGTACACCCAACGCTCGTAACTTCACACACTGCTGCGGTTGCAACTGTATTCTAGCACATCCGAAACCCTGTTGCCACCGAAATCAAAATCGTACGTTTATGTTTCTTCCCATCAGTTAACAAACCCTGACCGCCAGGTAAACAAAACCGTTAATACACTTACAATTAAAACATTTGTAGGTACATGCTCGCTTTCAAACGGTGGGTGTGATGGAAATGCTACGTGCTCCATTGGACAAGGAAATGTTGTTGTATGTACATGCAATCCGGGCTATGTTGGTAATGGAACAACTTGTCAAGGTAATAGTAACCTATCTAGGATATCTACGGTATTCTAAATGCTTACAGTAAAATTTCAGGGTTTCCTTTATTTAATTGACTGTAAGTCTAGGGTCCAAAACTCACTCAACANTACATATCAGCAGGCGTGAGAATTGCGTGCAGCTTTTCGCAGTAAAAACTCATTTTCCGAGAGAAATGAGAGTGACCGTGCTGGAAATTCCCCTTTGCTCATTGCTAGAGCTACTAGAATTCACCGTGATTGTCCCAAAAAGACTTTAGTTTTTCTTCATTTTACTCACGCAAACGGTGGAATAAGAGGTCAAAACACTGAATTAGACTGAACATCTGTTTGGAATTCAAATATATCTAGGAATATGCTCGCTTTCAAACGGTGGGTGTGATGGAAATGCTACGTGCTCCATTGGACAAGGAAATGTTGTTGTATGTACATGCAATCCGGGCTATGTTGGTAATGGAACAACTTGTCAAGGTAATAGTAACCTATCTAGGATATCTACGGTATTCTAAATGCTTACAGTAAAATTTCAGGGTTTCCTTTATTTAATTGACTGTAAGTCTAGGGTCCAAAACTCACTCAACATTCTTTCGCCAAAAAATGGAACGCGAGATTAAACTGAGTAAATTCTGAAAACAAAACCACTTAAACATAACCTTTTCGATACGTCTGTTGTGGGGATTTTACAAATAGCTGTAAGCGTATACTACTTTCTCATCATTATGGTTCATCGTGTGACAACTCAAGCTATATCAATTAAAATCTTTTTCAAGTAGGTGAACTAACTAGTGTCATGAGCCAACTGAGGTGCGTGGATTGATACATAGAAATAATGTTTTCAAGTCTGTGTTCCGTCTTTTACATATCAGCAGGCGTGAGAATTGCGTGCAGCTTTTCGCAGTAAAAACTCATTTTCCGAGAGAAATGAGAGTGACCGTGCTGGAAATTCCCCTTTGCTCATTGCTAGAGCTACTAGAATTCACCGTTGTTTTCGTGGAAAGCGTATTTTCGATTTTGGCATTGTGTTCAGGTGGGGCCACCAAATAGGTTGAATCTCTGGTTGTATTTTGGGAGTTTGTTAGGTCGTGTTTGGTCTAGACATATGTAAAATCGGGCAGATTTGGATAACGTTTGTGCGGAACTTATATCACTTACTTAAAAGCCTACTGTGTGTTTAGGTAAAAATTCGTCTTGTGTTGTGTCCCCGGCGTCCGGCTACATGAGCTACTACAATCTGATTACCTTGCAAAGTTTGGACACGACTTCGGATGTTGAGTTTCTGACCTTAGTTTGTGGCTTTTTCTCCGGTACGTCATCTTCAAATTTCGCTATCCATGTGGATCAGAATACGTGGAATCAATCAATACCGACATTGGAGATTGCAGGTGGGATTGCTGCATCGACAAACAATATGAACGTTGATGCAGGCAGTTGTACGGTGAATACAAATAATACGATCACTGAAAATGCCGTTACTCAGTACACCGTTAATTCTGTTCGCCAATTTACAATCAACGGTGGCAATAACCATGCTAGTGTCTACAAGGATTCTACTCTCACCTCCAAGTGTCAAAATGTCACTTCGACCCTGCAAGCCTTCTCCTTGCAATTAGCACAAATTAAAGCGAATAACAATGCGACCATTCCCAGCTCACAGGGACCTCTCAATCTAAACGTCAATACCAAGGATAGCAACGGAATTGCCTACTTCACGTTTACCGACGGGAACAGTGTCTTAAACAACGGCAACGTTAACCAACTCCAAATCAACAACGTCGTCAATGCCTCATTCATTGTCATCAATCTGTTCGGCTCCAGCATTTCGTTCGCGCAAGGCAATATGGTTGGTGATTGGCTCACGTCGCTGTACGGTCGTAGTCGTACATTGTGGAATTTCTACAATTGTACGACGCTCACTCTTCAGAACAATATGATGGGCGCCGTACTCGCTACGTCGGCCAACACCGTGGCAAAATCCGACATCGAAGGTGCCACAGTCGTGAAAAGTCTGACTACAACGGCCGAATTGCATACACCACCATTGATTTATCCATGTTAACCAAATAACCGCTTTAGGAGAGTAGTACTCACATTTAACTACGTTTCTTTTACGTCAATAGCCCGCACGAGTGGGTATGTATTTTTTTTATCACAAATTTCTTTCTGTCGAAATGAGTTACACTTTTGATCACCAAATCAATTAAAGAAAATATCAGATGAAATATGTCAACAGTTGACAGTTTTTGAAATTCTATTGGTTTTTTCAACTAACAAGAGCTATAAATAATTGCCCTCAACTGTAGATGATACCATTAAAAAAATGATCTTCAACTAATGATGGCTTAATTTGTGTTTGTGATAATCCACATTTAACATATACCTTTTATGTGAAACCACTTTTCGAACTGACTCTCACACCGCCCTCACCTTTACCATCGCCCACTCGGAAATCGGTGTCCAAATATGTTTAATGTCGATTATCACAAACACAAATAAAGTCCTCATTAACTATTTGCAGATGCTGTTTCACTCTATACACAAGGTATCGATATATTACGAGTAGCAACAACGATTAATAACGATCTCGTCACTATTAATCAGTAATCGAAAGACCGAAAGCTGTCATTAGAGTTTTCCTTATCGTGTTTATAGGAAATCTCAAACGAAATCTCACAAAACCCTAAGGTTTTACAAAAGATTTTCTGGAAAACCGAAACTATGCTTTTTCTAAATTTTCGATTCTTTTTTTTTAAAGTTTCCTAGAAACAAATATTGCCACGAGACGCAGCGTGATCGATTATGCATAATTCATCCATCTTGAAGGCAACCAGTCGTCACTTTTTAATCAGGACTTTTGTTGTAAATCTTTTTAATTGGTGCACCTTTAGAGTTTCGAGCAATAAGAAACTAAGAAAAATTTTTTTTAAAACTCTTTACTATCTTCTAACATTACAAGTGGACGTACTAATAAAATTAGATAATATACTGAATAAAAAAATATTTTCACTGTGCGCGTGAAGAAGGCTTTTTCCTTGAGTCTGGGAGACTTCCTCCTTAGAAACTCCTTTCACTGAAAAAGAACCAAACGAAATTGTGCCCTATCGATCTCGCTCATTTACAATTTCGTACAATGTTTCAGTTACGCACCTGGACCAGAGCATGGACAAGTACAAGTATACAAGTAAAAGTACTTGTACTTTTTACGCTGTACTTTCAAAAAATACTTTATACTTGTACTTCAAGGGCTTTTTTAGATTTTACTAAGATTTATAATATAAGGTAGCAAACTTCTCTCCATGCTTTATTTTCACCCACAGCGGTTTTATTCTTGAATAAGTATAATTATATCTTTTTAATTAACATAACAAATAATATATGTAGGATAAGCGATAAACGGTAAACTGGAAATTGGCCAAACGGAATTTGGTCGTATTTCTATATTCAACTAGAAGTTGGCCAAAAATCTAAATTGTACATGAATTTGGCCATTTTGCCAAAAACAACCATACGGTTGTGAATGATCTGACACTATAAATACGCATAACGATGCAGCTATTGCAGTATACCGAGCTGCCATACTGTCTGCTGCTACAACGATTGCACAAAATAGCTTCTCGCCAGTGTACATTGTATTCAGTATGATTGCTACTACATATATTTATAATCTCTTCCTTCACTTGCAACTGCAGCAAACACATTAAAGTCAGATTTGCATGAATTTACATCTGTGGCCACTTTCTAGTGGAATTTGGCAAAACAGTCAAGTTCTTATGGAATTTAGATTCTTAGCCAAATTCTTGTGGAAGTGAAAATAGGTGAAAATAACCTAAAGGGGGCTTCTCTCTCCTCCTCCTCGCGCTTTTATGATATGTTGCACAGTTTAATGCCCTCTTCTAGGTATGTTACGAACTTCTGACTTTGTTTCAAAGAAACTAACGGGGTTTTTTAAAGAGTTTTTTAGATCCAAAAACCGTGAGTTTTTCATTTTGAAACGACCACGAACGCTTTTTTAGTTTTTTGGCCTACAAAACCTGTTAAAAAACTCTTTTGGGTTTTTTATCAGTGTTTTAGTCCAAAAAACACTTTTATTGTAGTTTATTAATCTACGACTTTTTTTAGAGTGATAGAGAACTCAATTCTCTATTGATGGAGCCTAAAACAGACTCTTTGAACTACTGAACCTACTCTCAAAAACACGGAATAAAAGTGACCCATTTTTTCTGGGTTAGTTCAAATATATAAGTAATAGAAGTTCATTCGATTAATGAAAGTCGTGCTTCTCGTTTCCAACTTTCTAATATTTAGCGCTTTATTTTGAAAAATTTTGACCACTCTTTCATACACATCTCATATTTTACTGCAAATAAAAAAGAGATAAAAACATGCACAAGTGCAATTTCTATCTCGGTCATAATCTCCACAGAGCAGGCGGACATGTGGTTTTTTAACCTGAAAAGTGGTTATTCTTGCTAAGTATTACTTTGTTACGTCATAAATGTTAATAGAATCTAAAAGAAATCAAATTTGAAAAACGATTTTTTTTAATGAAAAATCCCCGCGGGAGATCCCTGTCATAAATTTTTGTAGAAAACTTTTTTATTTACAAAACTAACAAATTATACGTCATTCGATGCAGTTATGTCTGCTGATCCCGAATATGCTATGATTTTTAATACAAGTGTTCCTGGATTGAACAAAACAGATTTTACCTCAAAATTCAAGGTTTTTTGGAAAACCTATAGCTCAGTTTAGGCTTTTTCGGCTTTTTCCGCTAATTTGCGTTATCTATAATAGATGCAGCATATGTCTATGAACATTTTGGTATAATTTTGAGTCATGTTCAAAGTGGGATGTCGTGGACCACCACATTACATTCGAAGTACCTTTTGGGAAACAGAGTTAGTTCGAAAGGTATTTTGTTTTCGTGGATCGTAGGTTCTGGTCGAAAAAACTTTTCTTTTTCTAAGTAGATGAAAGTGTCTGTATACAGAATATATATAGACTTTAAATTTTAAGTATGTTGAATCCAATAAAAGAACGTTTTTTCTGGAGATGGGTAGTATAAAGGCTACTTTTTGCTGATACATTTTTCCAAGAAATTTAGCACTTGGAACAAAACTTTTTATGGCACTAAATAGCCCATCCATTGAAGTATATTTGACACCATTTGAATTTTGAAAAGGCGCGCTTTCAATTCTTTACCGAATGTCCACCTGGGTGCCCACTGTGTGTGAATAGATGTTATGAACAGTTCATGTATTTTGTTAGAATTTAATTTATTCAGAAGAAGAAGAAATTGTACCGCTGCTGGGTTATTGATCTAGTTTATTTAAACATACCTGTTCGCTCGTACGTAGACCAGAGCCCTGCAGGTTGATCCTAACCTAACCTATAGGTTAGGTTAGGATTAGGTTGCAAAAGTTATAGACTAGGTAAGGTTATAGGTTGTTCTATTTTTTTTCAATGGTTAGGTTAGGATTAGGTTGTGAAATTTTTTATAGGTTAGGTTATAGGTTGCCAATTGACAACCTGCAGGGCTCTGACGTAGACATCCCGTATTATGTAATACATAATACATGCACTCTAAAAAAAGGTCGTAGAATACAAAACTAAAAAGGGTTTTTCATTTTCAAACGACAGCGAACGCCTCTTTGTGTTTTAAAGTGCTGAAAAAAACCCTTAAAGGATATACCCCTAAGGGTTTTTTGAGCACTTTAAAATACAAAAAAACGCTCGGTGTCCCTTGAAAATGAAAAACCCTTTTTAGTTTTTTATTCTCCCTTTTTTTTTTCTTAGAGTGTGGTGCATAATATATATTACTCAAAACTTTCAACAGAAATTGGTAAGAAACGTATGATGTGTTGTATCTTTGATCTCTCGTGCAAATTATTATCAGTAAAAGAAGAATTACAAAATAGTCAATATAAAGAATGTGTGAAACTGACATCTCTAATTGTCCGAAGTAGTCTCAAAAATTTATCCAGTAATGTGCACTCATACTTGTATGTTATTATCGATAAGTGAAATCAAGCAATTAGATTTATTTAAGAACTGACAACAGCACACGTCCAGTATCACATATGTACTGTTATCGAAATATTTAAGAACAAAATTTGGTGATGGCACTGATCCACTAATCCAAATAACTGAAAGTCCTATTACCAGTGATGTTTAAAAGTTGAAAAAATCATGAGAAAGACTAGTGGCCTCGTTGGTTCCTTTTGTAGTCTGCTATTCACTCATCAGAGAGGTCTATTCTGTGGGACGTTTAAGACCCAGCGTCTCAAACAAAAGCAGGTAGGACGCTTTTTTGCTTTAAAAAGTCATTTTCCAGATGGTACACGGAAGGCTTAAACCTCTGAGAGGATACAAATGCTTCCGTGGAGATAGATGCCGCGGTCAATCCTTAAGCTCGTAGTATTCACTTTGAATTTTCAAACAAAGAATAAACTTATTACGAAATGAACAAAGAATAACTAAACAAAAACGTATTAAAAGAAAATATTTATTCATATGTTTAACCTTTATGACCATTTTTTTTAATATCAAGTGTCGATATTAATATCAACTGATATATCAACACCGGATAATTCTCTATCAGCGACAGAAACAAATGTATTAACTTGTCGACAAACTTATTACTAATGGTATCAGCTGGGAACAATATGTTTCTCTTACATATCTTAAATGTCAATTACTATATTCAAAAAATTATCATGCGATGAAACTAAAAGATTACCAACAAATTGCTCAGTGTGTATAGAGTATGTTGTTTGTTCCATCAGTATAAGTTTATAAATATCTTTGACGCACGAATTCGCAGAATCGTACTGAAAGATCTTATATGCTTGCAATGTAAGTAAAATTTTCATATAGTTCTGCAGTGAAAACAAATAGCGATAGATTTAATGACATTAACAATGTCTGCGAATAATCTACTAAAACGATAAACTATCTAATTTCTAATTCACGACGAAAGTGCATTAAATTTATTAATCTTGTCTTGTACCGTTAACTTCAATTCTCACAGGTTTAATTGGATAACTGTTTAAAATGTTGTCGATAGAACTTTGGACATTTTGAAATTCATTGACTGAACTGAGACGAGGTGCTTTAGTAAAAAAGAATATAAGTATAAATAATAAGTTGATTATAATGAGTAATAATAATGCTAATTGTTTTAACCGAAGCTCGTCTATTCGAGCTTGTACGGCTGGTATTGGACATCCACATATCATAAGACCAATCAAAAAGCCTGTCAAGGCGCCACCAATATGTCCAAAATGATCAATATCAACAAAAATACTAATGATTATATAGGGTACGACGAGTGAAGCAATTTGTATTAGAATTTGACGACGATCAAGAGTATAAAGTGCTTGAAGACGATCCATTAGATAAAAGAAAACGAGACCATAACATGCACCCGATGCACCGACTGATACTATAAAAAAAGATTATTTCATTAGAGATACCCCTCCCCTTATTTTGGGCTTTCCGTAGAACTGCGGTGAAATAAAAACTAAAACTGCCTAAGGCTTCCTATTTTCAGAACTGATTGGAAACTCAATGGAGCACCTTCTAATTTTGTTTCAAGTTTCTAACTACTGCCGTTCACTAGTTTCCCAGAAAACTTGGTTTTTCATCGGACCACGTCATGATCCCTCTTTAATTTCATCCGATAGATTAAAAATTTTATCAGCAGTACTCAAGCTCATAGCGCAGAGATATACTTTTGGAATTTTCTTTTATATCTTTCTTTACCGAGTTATAGGGTTTCTAAAATTTAAAAACTTTTCTAAAAGGTTTTTCAAAGTTTTTCAGTATTTTTCGTATAACTCGGTAGAGAAAGGTCTAAAAAAGATTCCAAAACTTTACCTCTGCGATATGATCTTGAGTACTGCTGATAAAATTTTTAACTCTATCAGATGAAATTTAAGAGGGGTCATAATGTGGTCCGGTGAAAAACCGAATTTTTTGGAAACTGGTGAACGGCAGTAGTTAGAAACTTCAAAACAAAAACGAAAAGGTGCTCCATTGAGTTTCCAATCAGTTTTGAAAATATGAAGCCTCAATGAGTTTTAGTCTTTATTTCACAAAATTTTTACGGAAAGTTCAAAATGAGGGAAGAGTACCCTTAAATAACTTTCGTTAAAATACAAATTCTTACTACTCTGACGTTGAAATACGGCACTTAATAGTCCACCAGTTAAACCGGACAAAATATAAACGAGACTAATTTTAACTGTACCATACTTTGTTTCTAAACTAAAACCAACTATCATGATGTTTAATACATTAAGTATCAAATGAAGCATGTTGGCGTGTAAGAACATTGCGGTTAGAAATCGATACAATTGATATGGATAGAGAAATGAATAACATCGATATTTTAAAAACTGATCATAAGTACATTTATCGTACAATGGCCACTCTTTGCCTTCTCCACGAGTACATACAACGTCCATTAATCGAATTTTTGTAGCAGCTGGTTTCATACATGGTACAAACTGTCCACCCATTCGAATTAAAGTTAATGTTGTTAAATTAATACCACCATTATAAATAAAAGCAACGATGAGTAAAAGTATATTAATTATACTAATAATAATAGTAAAAATTGGCTTATAAAAACGTTGATTCGGATCGGATATGGTAACAATATCTCTGAACTTATCAGCAATAACGTGTATTGTTAACGGTCTTGCTGGTCGTGACTCTGGTATATCTGGATGAATAAGAACAGTAGCCATGGTCGTTGTGGTTCATGTAACTTCAGTACTGTTATACTATGAATATTTTTCTGTCTGACTTTGACTAAGACTTTTTCGACAAGAAGAAGAAGAAGTTATATTAGTCTTTTCTCTTATTTTTCATCTATTAGAGGTTCTTTTTTTCTTCGTTTGTTTCTTTTCTTGTCTAATAAGTCATAATGATCATTTTTTTATCCTCGTCGATTTTAGTTCTTTTCTTCTAGGAGAACAAAACACACTTATGCTTAGTAGACACATCTATTGCAGTTACATTTTCGACAGTTTTGTTTTTACCAGAAGAATTACACATCGATAAGAGAACACACAATATATTAATTTCTGTTATATATAGTATGTCTTAGAAATTCAGTCATGCTGAATCAGTTCACATAAAAAAAAATAGAAGGTTTATAAACTTAGATCGAGGTGTAAGAGAATGTTATTCGTAGAAGCTTGGAAAACGAATTTTTCTTGTCAGTTCTTCAGTTACTTACATTATTCGTAAATAATCAGTTTCGATGTTTAACAGGCAACAACCGTGATTTTAATTTCCGCCATAAAATAAAAAATCTATACAATTCACGTGATACTTGGAAAAATGAAAAGAAATGAAATAAACAAAGAGAAAAAATGTTCTTTTTTAAAGAAAGAAATATGCTTTTATGTATATACCGGAAAGTAGTACATATAGCGAGAGTTATACAGTTAAAATATTTCAGCTTCATCAAATATATTTTGAAAAAAAGTAGGAAAACAACATTCTTTTCGCCGACAGTTCCATGACGGCCTGTCCAGCTAACTGGAATTTTGTAATGTTTTTTGGTGATTTTGTTCCATTTGTAGAAACTTTTTTTAAAAAGTTAGAACTCAAAAGCGAATGAGCCATTTTGTAGACAATTCAATTCTCTATCGATTGATCTGCTTTTGAAAAATTTTAGCGAAAATCTCTTGGTAAGAAAATTGAAAACAATGAGAGCTGCTTTACTAAATTTATAAAAAGGATATGCAAAAAGTACCTCTCATTGTCAGACGTGCGCGATTACAATTACAAAATGTAAAGTTCAAACATTGCTATTACCTGTAGAATTAAGAATTCTAGAATTATGAACTTTACATGTATGTAAAGTTGAACTTTACTTGTTCAGAATTTTC